CTTGTTGTGCAAGGTGAATATGAGCATGAAGTGAGAAGATTTACACCGATGAACCATGTAGAAGAAGAGCAGTTTTACAGTAATAATTCATAATTTGTTCGCCCAAATTAATTTCATCGATGGATTCAGAAGCATGAAGAATTTTCACCGCCACAGAATAAAGTAAGAAGTGAGATACTAAAAGTCTTGGAAGATGTAACGTAACAATAGGTACTCCAACATTCAATACGAATAAACGACCATTTTTTGCCTTCCATTGTCCGGCGTTTACGATCGAATCCAAAAAAGATACGTTCAGATTGTGTGGCAGACGAAGCTGACCGATTAAGTCATCAATTAAACGTACAATTGATTCATCAATATTTTGACACCAACGTTTGATAACACACGGCACATGATCCAGACATATAAGGTGCATGTAGTCAAATACAATTTGACAAGGATATTCGAAGACCTAAAGTAAAAGTAGAATTAGTGAAGAAAATTGAAAGTTGTTTGGATTGACGAATAAAGTCATTCTAGATAGGTAAGCCTACTATCTCAAATAAAATTTATTTTTAACTTTCAAATTTTCTTTCTCGTAATCAGAATTTCAGAGGCGATTTCATGTCAATACTTTAAGGCTTTCTCAGCAATTAGTGTAATGATGGAGCTTAGATAAGCGCATAAATATTTGACATTATGAACTACAGTATATAATAGAAAAAAAGTTGCATTATGAATCGTAAGAATGTCATTTGATATCATATAACACTTTGGATACTAATGGCTCTAATGCAAGACAGTTTTTTCAACTTGGCCGAATTTTAAATACTTCGGAAACACGAAAAGGTATCAAGATGTGACTTTCACTATGACATGGGCAACATTTAGAGAACCTACAGTACTTGCTCTCCTACGACACTGTTTTAGAACTCTCATCAGTTAAGAAATTAAATGTAAATACATTAAAATCATGTATGGTCATTGTCGTGAGTCTCTCAATATCACGACAAAAACTGTTTGGAGACCAACAGTTATGTTACGATACTTAGCAGCATATAAATTGATGTAAGAATGTGTAACCCTAATGATACTCAAAAGAACATGTAAAAGACAAGATATGGATCCATTTGTGCTTCGCTTATTATCTTTTATCCATGACCTCATTATAAACAATTTTTTAATCTTATTTGAAGTAAAAACTATGAACTGAATGAAAAGAACTTGAACATTCATTTCTTTCTACGATTTTCAATTTATTATGTATTTATAATTGTGATGCTCAACTTAAATCATTGGTAATCTGAACTTTCAAATGATATTGCACGTCATATTTGCCTCCTTATGATTCAACTTCCTTCTACGTTCAAAAATCTAAAAAAATGAATCAGAATTTTGCAGACCTGTAGTAAAGTAGAAAGGCCTTTGATGCCATCAACTGGAACGACTTTGCCATGAGTTGACTTTTTTTGTGCTTCTTTTGCTGCATCGAGATATGCACTATGAGTACGAACTGTTAGATTGTTGCGAGTAAATGGATAAACCACAATATTGTGCTCAGCACTCCATTTACCTATAACACAAATACAGAAGATTTATTAGGTAAAAACAAGAATAAATTTATCTATAAAAAAACATCAAAACTCAATGTTACCGAAGACTACTTAGTTGTGATAGGTATTATTGATTACTTCAAACTCAAGCTACAATTTGATACTATATATTAAAAGAGACTTTCGTTTTAACGGCAATCGGTGAAAATATTTCATAATGAATAAGAGATCATAAACATCTTTTTTATCATATTAGAGACGTTTCATGAACTCTCTTCATATTATCTATCAGAACAAAATTATAAAAACAGTTGAAAAATACTAATAAAAAAACGTGTAGTACAATAAACAAATTAGTAAATTGAACGTTCAAGTTTATTGAATTATTTTTTTTCTGTTGCATGTTTTTTATTACTATTCTCTGTAACTGTTTTTATAATTTTTTTGACTGATGGTTTGAGCAGAGTTCACAAAGCGTCTGTATCATGATTAAAACGGAGTGTATGATTCTGTTGTTCATTATGATAGGGATCGGATGATCAATGGATGGACTAATAACCTAATTTCATAAGATGTTCTATCACTATGGTCAGATCAATTATCTAGTTTTCTAAAGTGTGTGGAAAATAGCTAATATTCGTTTAGAGACGGCATATGAAACTCAAAATTTTTTTTTTAATGTCAAAAATTAATTTGGATGAAACAGGCAAAGACGATAAGGTTTATTTGCTACATGTATCAATTTTTGTATTTATATATTCAAGGCAATCACTAGTTTCTATAAATTGCAATCCAGTATCACTCTTAAGACCATATTTCTTATCTATGGGATATAATCTTAGTCTGGAATTATCCACTCACAAAATTTACTGGTCGTATAAAGTAGCTACGCCTGAATATATATTCCCTAGACTGAAAGGCTAGGGTCTAGAAACCGAAATTCACCTGTGTCTGTCTGTCTGTCTGTCTGTCGGTCTGTCTGTCGGTAACGCGGTCAAAATGGCCATTTTTTTGGCACATGTGACCATGTTTTTGGCAGAAACGACCATTTATTTGGCACAAGTGACCATTTTTTTGGCACAAACGGCCATTTTTTTACTAAAATTAACTAGGTAACTATGGTACAAATGAGCATGTAACTATGGCACAAACGGTCATTTTTTTGGTACAAACGACCACGTAACTGTGGCACAGGTGACCATATAGCAACCATGGTACAAACAACTATTCCGGTAACTATGGCACAGATGACCATGTAGCAACCATGGTACAAACAACTATTCCGGTAACTATGGCACAGATGACCATATAGCAACCATGGTACAAACAACTATTCCGATAACTATGGCACAGATGATCATATAGCAACCATGGCACAAACAACTATTCCGGTAACTATGGCACAGGTGACCATATAGCAACCATGGTACAAACAACTATTCCGGTAACTACGGCACAGATGACCATATAGCAACCATGGTACAAACAACTATTCCGGTAACTATGGCACAGATGACCATATAGCAACCATGGTACAAACAACTATTCCGATAACTATGCCACAGATGATCATATAGCAACCATGGCACAAACAACTATTCCGGTAACTATGGCACAGGTGACCATATAGCAAGCATGGTACAAACAACTATTCCGGTAACTATGGCACAGATGACCATATAGCAACCATGGCACAAACAACTATTCCGATAACTATGGCACAGGTGACCATATAGCAACCATGGCACAAACAACTATTCCGGTAACTATGGCACAGATGACCATATAGCAAGCATGGTACAAACAACTATTCCGGTAACTATGA